CACAACATACTCCAACATCCTCTCAAAAGGATGTTGGTTTTAAAATAAGAGTCCAATCGCCCAAGGAGGCATCCGTTGCCTCTCCACACTTGAGTGACCAACCCAATTATGCTTCAGAGGCATATGCGAGAGTCACAGAGACTGAGGTTCTAGAACGCCCAAAGTCCATACTCGATCTCTCTGCCGAGATAGGCTCTAAACATACTAGGCAAGATATCGACATAACACTGGTAAGCTCTCCAAAAGGAGATGTTCGAGGATCCGGTGGAAGTCCCCGAGCTGACTTCGAAAAACCAGTCGSTGAGGGTGCCTCACACTCCGAGGCTACTAGGTCACCATGTGTTGGTGATCTAGGTTCCCAGGATACCTATGTGACGAAGGAGGAGTTACAAACCTTCACCAGAGCGGTATTCCAAAGGTTGGACGAGTTGAAAAGCTTGTTCACCTCTCAACCATCAACAGAGGCGTTAGCACCAATAACAGAGGCTCTGAAGGAGTTGACATCTACAACTTCAGAACTCAAGGAGACTCTTTCAGCCCTTCAGAGCTCTGTCCTTCATAAAGACGACCTCGCAGAAGCCTTCAGCACTCTGTCTCTCAACCCTTCCTCTATCCAAAAGCTGAAGACAGAGTTTTCAGAGGTAGCCCCCCAGTTTGGTGCTGATTTCGTCTCCGCCGGCTACACAGACTACTCTGCCTTCAAAGACGAGATCAAAGACATGTTCTCCTCTGCGATCACCTACGACATTGACTCCAAATCCTCCAGAGCAAACATCAACCATCTAGTCACTCGTAGAGAGCTAGACACAATGGTTGAAGCCCTAGGAGAGATCATGCAGAAATATACAGACCAACTCCTCAAAGAAGCCCGAGCTTCCAACCAATCAATTAGAGACTGCACTTTAAATCTTGTCAAAGAGGGTGACACCTTGAGATGTGAAATCTATCGCAACATCTCTAAAATGAAGTGGGCCACAGAGATCGACTTAAGCAGCGCCTCTGTGAACGCTGAGTTGGTAATCGAGAAAATGGAGAAGGCGGCTACCAGAATCCTAAGGCGATTAAAGAAGGCTCCCCTTGGTACTTGCAAAGAAAAAGCCACCAAAATCCATGACGATCAAGGAGGTGATGACCATGATCGTCGTGAGGGGGAGAAGAAGACAGAGAGAAAGCTGAAGAGCTTAAGAAGACAACCTCTGCCAAACCACTAAAGAAAGTGGACTCTGCAACTGCCCTATTCTCAAAAGACAAAGCACCAGAGCCTAAGGGGAAAGGCAAGGGCAAAGCTGTAGAGGAGTCGCCACAGAGGGGGTCGAGCTCTGAAATGCCAGAGGAGATAAATGAAGAAGATTACGATGACCCAGAGCTCTTTCAAGCGTTAAAGGCTTCTTTGGCAGAGGCAAAGGCAAGAAAGGGCAGAGCCCCTATCCCAGAGCTGGAGAAGGCTCATCCTCCAAAATGGCGAAGGAGGAAACGTCCATGGGTACGTTCGACGCTCTGTTAGGAACTGTCAAACCTATCCTAGCAGAGGGGTCCACCCAAAGGCCGATTCTAGAAGAAGAAGAAACCAGAATACTAGAATCTGCCACAGTGGGGAGGGTTTATGAGATACTTGATTCGATGAGCAAGATTCCTACGCAGAAAGTGTGCACAGAGACCGTAACCACTGTGGAGGAGATTCTGCGGTGGCGTTACTCTGCCTTGGGTACAGAGCCCCCTTACGATCCAGAGCTTACAGGTATACCCTCTGCAGCTGCAAAGTTTCACTTCTCAAAACTCACAAGGCCACGCGAGCAGGTCTTCTCAGAGCACGTGATAACTTCCCTTGAAATAATATCTCCAAAGACTATGCTGAAGAAGACCGTGTTTTATGCTCAATATGTGGTCAAGAGGGATGACGGCAACCTATACACGTTCACAGATGCTGACCTCCAGAACCTTTGTGTATTTGATCCTATCTTCTTGCACAAAATTCTTAACAAATATATGGAGAGGAGGTCAAGCTATTCGATTTCCCTCAGAAGGCTGATTGAGGTGATGCGCGCTCAAGTGAAATACTACAGCAAGAAGGACTTCGATATCACGATGAGGTTGGCCCAAACAAAATTGAAGATTTCCCCTCCGAAGAACAGGCCAAGTTGGCTACTTAGATGTCATCCCAACACCATTGTCCACAATCCCATCTTTAGGTTTTTGTTCTTGGACAAGGATGACATTCTAAGGTTCTTTGATCCAACAGAGGTGAAAAAATATGCGACAGAGACTCTTAAGTGGGTGTTCAACCAAGTGGCAGCAGAGGTGCATAGAGGGCATCTAAGGGCGGACGAAGTGTCTGGTATTCTGGAAGCGATTAAAGTTCAAGTCTCCTTCAGAGAGTGGATATTCAAGGTCTACAAAACCATCAAGTCAGATCTGCAGTTTGCCGTAGACGACTATCCAGACTCTGCTGTGGACTAATCTTCTGTAATAGTATTGGCCTGAGCAACAATTTTGCAATTCTTTTCAGAGGATGAGTTTAATCTTCTCTTGTAATTCTTTCTTGTAATTCTTTCAATTAGTCAGTTCTTGCATTCAATTGTCCAATTTTACTTTTTCATACTTAGGGGGAGATTGTTAGCTCTAATATTTACTTAATATAAAAGTATGAAAAAGTTTTCTGCAGGTGTTGACAGAAGGGTATCTTCCACAGAAGACAACAGATGACCTGCAACAGAAGCTGTTTCATCGTGCAAGTCAATAATGACATAACCTCTGATGTCTCTCACAGAGTTTCTGAAAAATGGTCCTCTTGCAATAAGAACCTACAAGTCAATTTCAGCAGAGCCTTTGAGATGGCTCACAGAGGATCTGCGGTTTCGTCTTCTGTGAAGATCCTGTTCTGCAGTTTTTCAAAGGTTGTTAGCTGCATGTGCTTCTCACGTGACTAGGTCTTTAACCGAATTTATTTGGACGGCTTAGATGATTTCACACGTCAAGGTCTTGTCAGAAAGGTCGTTAAGAACTAATATAAATAGCAGCTTAGGCCTTTGTAATTCAGTGTGCTTCCGTATTGTAATCGGCTATATTTTCAATCAATTGAAAAACCTTTGAAGCCATTCTATTGTGTTCATCTTCTTCATATTAATMTGTGTGTTCTTGGTTAATTACTCTGTTTTGTTGTTATCATTGTTTCCGCTGCACTATAATCGTCCCAAAGATCATTCAGAGTAAGAGTTCAAATACCAAAGCTGAATTTACAGGTCCTAGCACTATTTAACATTATCTGTATAATTGAGTTCATCTTGAAAAATGTTTTAAGATTTTTTTTGTTATTCAATGCTTCTAAATTAAATCTATTATGATGGCATCTGTGATTGTGTAACTGTATGACTCTACTCATCACTGTATGTCTGTATGAGTATGACAACATCTACAACATCTTGCCATCTGTATGACATTGATAGCATATGTTATTGGAAATATTTTGAAACACTAGAGGATTAACTTTAAATAGTCAAACTTCATCACTTTTTTATGGAATGAATAGATTAATATTATAAGGGAATTTTTGGAGTTGGGTATGCTTGTTGGTTGGTGATTTGAGTTTATCTTGAAAATGGTCTTACTTGTTTGTTAGTTAATTAATGTTAGTGTTGAAAGGTAATTATTCATCAACAATATGTTATAATTTCATATTATTTTTCTAAGATGGAAAATTCACAAAACAAGAACATAAAATATATTGGACATAATGCTACGGAAGGAAACGATAAGGATAATACGACTTGTAATGCCACAAATGATTCTGTAAGCATGCCTTTGGGTTCAAATATTACCCCCGAGACTGAAGTAAGTGAACCAGCAAACAAAAGATTGAAATTTGTTGTCTAGAACCATTTTGAAGCAATATATATTGATGGTCTTTGCCGATTTGCAAAATGTAAGTATTGCAATAAGTAGATGACCGGTAGACCTAATGATGGGACAACACATTTGAAAGATCACTTCAAGATATGTCCGAAGAGAGTTACAAAAGACATGACACAACATATTATAGTTCAAGAGCAAACTGCTAAGGATGGAAAAACATATTTATTGAGTAATTATAACTTTAGTGCTGAAAGCTCATGAAATGATGTAGCTAAAATGATCATTCTTCATGATTATCCACTTTCTATTGTTGAGCATCATGGCTTTCGTAAGTATTCAAATGGTCTTCAACCTTTATTTAAGGTGCCTTGTAGAGCTACAATCAAGTCTGACATCATGAAGATATACGAAACAAAAAGAGGTGGTGTATTGCGATGTTTGGAAGAAAACGAAAGTAGGATTGCTCTTAGTTTGGATATGTGGACAGCCGGTAACCAAAACAAAGGTACATGGCACTAGCAACACACTACATAGGTGCCAATTGGATGTTACAAAATCGGATTATCAAGTTATTTATTTTTTTAGTATTTTGTGCTATTTTTATAATTCAATGTTAATATTCTCATTTTAATATATTCTTTGAATCTTTGATGCAGCTTTTTACATGTGCCATCTCCACACACTGCTGATGCATTGTCCGAAGTTATGATCGAGTGCTTTATGGATTGGAACATTGACAACAAGTTATCAACATTGACCCTTAACAATTGTTCAACAAATGATGCTTTGGTTGACAGGCTCTTAGGTACTCTTTCTCCTTCCTCCTTAATTTTGAAGGGTAAGTTGTTTCACATGAGATGTTGTGCACATATCATTAATCTCATTGTGCAAGATGGGTTTTCTATGATTGAGAAAGCAATCAAGAATGTTAGGGATAGTGTCTCATTTTGGACATGTTCTCCTAAAAGAGCCCAAGACTTTWGACTCGTTGCACGACAACTAGGTGTAGATTGTGAAAAAGAATTAGTGCTTGATTGTTAGACTAGGTGGAATTCTATTTATACAATGTTGAATGTTGCTTTCGAATATAAAGATGTCTTTACTCGTTTAAGCAAGAAAGAGAAACATTATGTTTCTTTACCTAGTGAAGAGGACTGGAGAATGGCGACTAATGTATGTGATAAGTTAGGTTTATTTTATCGTGTGACAGAGACATTCTTCGGGACCAAATATCCCACTTCCAACATGTTCTTCCCTTTGATATGTGACAAAAAATTATCTATTAAGAGTTGGGAAGACGATCAAAATGACGTTATTAGGAACACGACATCAACTATGTTGCTTAAGTTCGATACATATTGGGGAGTCATACACGATGTGATAAGTGTGGCTATTGTTCTAGATCCTAGATATAAGTTAAAGTTGATAAATTATTTCTTCCTGAAGATTTATAGTGTGGACTCAAAAGATGAGGTTATGAGGATATGGACTCTATGTATTGATATATTTAAGGAGTACAAAAAGAAACATGATCAGAATAAAAGGAAAGAACAAAGTGGCACAACTGTTTCAAGTGAGGGGAAATCTTCTTCAAACAAGGCCTCATGGCAATTAGATATTGAGAATATGATCTCTGAGGATGGCATGTTTGAAACGACTTAGTTGGATTATTATTTGTTAGAGAAATTGTTACCACAGGAAGAAGGGTTTGATATATTAATGTGGTGGAAGTGCAACGATGCCAAGTTTCGTATCATGCAGCGGATTGCGAGGGATGTGTTGGCCATTCCTATTTCAACAGTAGCTTCAGAATCGGCTTTTAGCATGAGTGGAAACAAGGTAACAAAACAACGAAGTCGACTAAAATCACAAACAATTAGGGCTTTGATTTGCAGCTAAAGTTGGCTAAGAAAAGAAATTGAAGGTAATAATTATATAAATTGTTTGTTGTAATAACTATGTAAATTGCAATTGGTATATATAATTTTTCTGACTTGCAGTATTTTATTTCAGATAAAAAACATGGAGAACCAAAAGGATTTGATCAAACGATTGGATACGATGAAGATGTTGATTGTTGAGGGACTGGAATTATGTGTTGCTTGGAAAAACTTGTTTTAAATTTTACATCTCATTGGATTATTGTTAATTTTACAATTTTATTATTTTTATTAGGCAAGACTAGATACGATGTAATGATGTTGTCATGTTGATGTTGCTTGGAAAAAACTTATTAATTTTAATTTCACAGGGTGTTGAAAGGGGGTTGACCAAAAGTTGACCGGGGCCGAAAAGAAAATCCCCGTACCCGCCGGGTACTAGGGCCGGGGCTTGGGATTTTGGATATAAACCGGGGCCAGGGCCGGGGAGTGCAAACCCCGCCCCATCCCCACCTCGTTGCCATCCCTAACTGTTATTACTCTTCCAGCTCTTCTGATATATGTTGTCTCCAGTCCACCTGTTGTACCTCCTCCTATTCATAAAATTAGTGGTTTTGCATGTGGAGCACATGATCCTTCTGTTGCTAAGATTGATTAATTTATTAGTAGATCTCACAAAACAAGAAAGAATATTGTTTGTAACAACAGAGTTACGGGATGAAACAGATTCAACTTTATTTACCCAAATACTTTTAACTTTAGAAGAATAATTGGGTGATCCGAGCACATCCTCTTGATAGTACTGATTTGAAGAACGAGAATAGTTCTTAGAAACAGTTTATTTAGGGCTGTTTTACACTGTGAAGAAGAACAAGTTGAGCTTTGAGCACTTGAAAAGTCTTTAACTTTCTTTAAAAGTTGGTCTCTTTCATCAGCAACTAAAATCGTACTTCTCTTTAAGTTCAGTTGTCATTTTCAATTCAGTTTCAAGTTCTGTCTTAAGATCAGACAATTTCTTAGAAGTATTCAGGAGTTACCTTCTAACTCCTTCTTCAGCTTCTCAAACATCTTCTTCTCTTTATCAAACTCTCGTCTCTTCTCATCTTAGCTGCTCTTTTCATTCTCAAAAGCAACGTCGAGCCATTTTTTCTTTTCTGCAAACTCTTTGGTAATTGCTGCATATTTCTTAGCAGTATTTTTCTTTTCAAGAGCAAACAACTTCTTCTCTTCATCCAAAGCTTTCTGCTTTTGAGCAATGCAGTCAGATAGTTCAAGGTTCTTGCTCATACATTCTTCTCTGATCTTTTTCTTCTCTTTATCAATCTTGGCTCGTTCCAAGATGATTAGTTGCTCAAAATCGGAAATTTGATTTCAAAGCATTTTGGCATTTAATTCCAGTGAGTTGATCTTATTCTCAAAAGATATTCTCTTAGAATCATATCTTTTCTCTAATTCAAACATTCTCTTCTTCTCTTTTTCAAAAACTATTCTTTCAGCACTTAAACTCTTTTCAGCTTTCAAAACCTTTTCTGTTCTAATTCCAGTAATATCCTTATCTCAATCAAATCATTCTCAGACTTATGAAATATATCTATGAAGTCCTCCGTCTCTGTATGTTTTCTTTCTGGAGAGTTCCTCTCAGTTTGCAGTCCAGTTTCAGATTTACGAAGTTTATTGACTAAATCTTGTTTTATCTTATTGGAACTGCTTATCTCATCATCTAATTCTTTGCTGCATCCAAGGTTTTCTCAAGTTCGCTAATTTCATGTGAGAAACCTTTTTCAAAATTTTCTCTCAATGCTCTATTCTCTCTTTGTTGATCTTTAATAAATTCCTTATCTTTATGATTTTCATTAAACATGTTTATGTATTTGTCTTGATAATCTTTTACGCTCTTTTCCAACTTAGAAATCTTAACTCTCAGTTCCTTATTCTCCTTCTCAAGATAAACTGCCATTTCAAAATTAACGATTGATCAAAGAATCTAATTGTCACACCCCGCTAAAGCGGAAACACGAGATGTAACAGGCAAGCGAGTCATAGCAACAGTTTATAAATAACACTAATCCACGTTGTTCAAAAACAAAACAATTCATCGACATAACAGATATTAGAACTTTTCAAGACGTTCACAAAATACTTCAAATTCTTGACTTAATCGATCCATGCTCAAGTATCCTCCCATAAATCCAAATAACTTTACTTAGAACCTGAAAAGCATGGAAACAAAACAAGGTCAACTACATAGAGTTGGTGAGTTCACGGGTTTTCATATGCATAAAACGTTTCAATGCATAAACCAAGTAATAGCAAA